GCCCCCCGTGCGCCTCCCCGCGGGTGCGCTTTAGCGAGGCCTGTGGGTACCGTGTGTGTCTGGGGCCGCAGCTCGTGGGGCCGGCGATTCTCTTGGATTGCGGGTCTCGCAGGCCCTGCTCTGCCAGTGACCTTATGGAATGGGCAGCAGTTGGTCGCAGTCTTTTTCTCTGCTGCTGTGCTTCCCAGTAGGAATGCTGAACTGCTGGTGTTGCTTTATTGTTTTAGTCTTCTGCTGTTACCTGTTTTTGTTCTTCATCTCATATATATAAGTATTAACTTCCAAATATACAAAAATTCAAAGAGCGGTCACCGGAAGTTCTGAAAAAAGTATTATCTGAGTGGAAATCGGAGTGTAATTGGAGAGAAGTGGATGTACCTTTGAAAATACTTATCCTATGGAAGTATAAAAAGGCTTTTGAGATTGGAGTTTCAGGGGGAAGATTGTGGATTTGTATGTTTTTTAGTGGCCAAATTGTTTCTTTTGGTCTTTGCCTATCTGCAGTTGATTTGCACTGTCTACTGCTGTGGGTGCCCACTTCTTGTTCAGATTTAAAGTTATCTTTTTTATTGTACTTTTAAACTTTATTTGACATTTTCTGTAAATGATGAATAGTTTTTAGAATAAGCGTATTGGGTGTTGGAGGGGTTAAGGTCATTAAAGTATGTGAAACTACAAAGAATTCTTTTAAGTGACATATTTAGTGTTTATTGAAGCAAGCTAGCAGCTGTAGTAAGTTAACAGAGCAGTTGAACAGCACCTGCAGGATATGCAGGCCCTTTCCTACTTGTCTTAGGGATCTGCTCAGGTTTGTGACCTTGACTGAACATCCTGTCTATAAAAGTAGCCAATTCAAAGAGGTTGTTGAAATAAACCCGTCTTAGCGGTTTAACAGAAAGTCTCTGTTAAACCTTCTCCACCATACATACATGGTGTATGTATGATATGTGCTCATTTGGCTTTATACTTAGCTGAAGGTTATGTCAATTTGGAGCACGTGGTGCTGTTCGGAGAGCAGAATGTTGCAGTGCTGCTTCTCAAAATGGAAGTTAGTTGCCCAGGTAACTCAAAGTTGTGCCTGGAAGCGGTGCCCTAGTGAGTGCATAATAATGCTCGTAAAGCATCGTTATGATGGTAAGGAGCTGTATTGACCTCTTGTTTTTTGATATATGGTTTGTTGTGGGAAATAGATCTCTCACTGAAATGGGAAGCAAATATAGGTAGAGCAGAGTTAAATTATGTACTTAAAAACATATAGAGTGTTCTTGAGTTGCAGAAATCCAATATTAGTACTGTTTCCATTATGTAGTGTAGTCAGGGATGGGTATGAAGCATACCCTGTTTGAAAATCATGTATGCAAATAGTAAAGTGTATTTTCCTTGTGTGCTTGCAGAAATATATTAACCATTTAAGCAACCATGCTGGCCGCAAGGCTAGTATGCCTGAGGACGTTATCATGCCAGACTATCCGGCCTGCCATCGTTCAGACTTCTCCAGCTTTGAGGACCACCAATATAAAGGCATACAAGCTGTGGCAGCCTAGCCAGGTATGGTAATTTTACTGATGTTTCTGATTGTTTGCATATGGAAAGGTTAAATCTTTTTTCCAAAAGAATCACTTTACAGGTGGTATCTGCTGTGCATTGAACATGAGCCTGTTGCTCTTCATGGGGTTCCTGTATTAACTTGATGAGAGAAGAGTATTACTTAATTACAGGGTAGGGATTTTAAGAGCAGTTCAAGTTCCCTGTTGAAATTTGTAGAACTTCAGGGAGGTGTTTAGTAATGGATAAGTTTCATCAGATAAGGTGAGTAAGAATTTTTGTTGGATACCTAGAAAGAGGCAAGGGGGTAAAAATTGTAAATGTCTTGCTACTGTACAAAACAATATATCTACAGCAACTTCAGTCACAGTACATGTGTAGAGCTCTAGCCCAGGTTAGAGCAGTTTCTGACCTCTGGCACACAACTCGTGATCTCATCAGTGGTGTCAAAAGTCAGTTGTTAGTGTCCTGAGAACAGTTTGTCCATTTAGTGAGAGATGTTTCGCTTTTGCTGCCTTTAGAGATAACACTCATCTTCTTTCAAGGAATTTCTTCCAATTTAATGTTATCTTTGGACTGTTGCATTAGGTAAAGGGATTGCTTTTTTGTTATGAACTTGTGGAAAGCACCTTTGCCAAATTCTCTTGCCTCCTTTCTGTGTTTGTCTTACATATGAGTCTTTTTAAGCATCTTAAGCTTATAGTGTATATTTTTGTTTTATTTCAAAGACCTTTGTTCAACTTTTGTTCTCTAAGTCAGTCTTAAACATGTAAAAATGCAGAATTTACGCTGTGCTCTCCAATATAGTACCTATAAATGTAACTATAAATTGGAGTTCATTTCTGCTTAGGAGAGTAAGGGCATTTAATTTCACCATTTTACGGAGAGAAAGTTATATCTTAAGGCCTTTTTTAGTACCATGGGAATTGCGAAGAAGAAAATCAGACATTTCATTTTGTCTTTTAGCTGAAGTAAATACTTCGAAAATTCAGAGTGTTGATTCTGTGCTTTCAGAATGCATAAATTAGAGAACAACTGTCTACTTATTCACGCATGCTCTTAAGCTTTCATGATCTGTTGAGCATGGCTTTTCCATGTTTTATGGGGTATGAACAGAGTAAGAGACTATCTAGCAATTTTAAGGATACCACGTAAATGGTATTATTTTTGTTGAAGTGTAAATTGCTTTTCCTTAAAAATATTTGGTCATTAGTCTGTAAATGCAGCTTATTAATAAGAGATGTTTGCTCTTATGTCCCTTTTTTAAAAAAAGTTATTTTTTTAATGTTACTTTTTAACAGTGTTACGCCACAAGAGTAAGAACGGGAATAAGACGTGGAAAAATTGGCCAAGAGATCAAAGAAGCAGCATTTGAGCCATCTGCAGAAACTGCAATCAAAGGTAGAGAAGCTCTACGTTAATGGTTACACTTGAATTCTAAACTTCTTCGAGGCAATGCTTTTTATTGAATCCATTAAATACATTGAAAAGTAACTTTTTAACACTGAATTTTATTAATGACTCTCTCGAGTGGATAGAGTTGGTTTGTCTGTCTTTTTTAGTAATGTCTAAAATGGCAAAGACCACATGGTACAGAGAAGCCTCCAGTTTTCTCTTTGAGCTTCTATTATGAGAAATTTTCTCTCGGTGGATCACAAATGGATTGTTTAAATAGCAGTGTTCTGTGAATGAGACTTGCAAATATTCAGCAAGAGAATTGAATTGATAAATAGTATTTAGATTCACTAGTCAAAACTGTGTCTCTAATGCATTAGAAAAAACCCTATTTTAAAGGACTTTTGCAGCCCAAAGTAGTCACTCAGCTGTTTTTCAGTTACACCAACATCGTATGCTTAATATTGTTAATAGCAGCCATATTCTGATGCCTGTGAGTGCAATACATCTGAAAGAATCAGACAGTAGAAACTAATAGAGGAAACATTTATTGCTGGCTGTGAGCTTTGGAAATCTCTTTTTGAACTGATTTGGATCTAATTGTTACTGGAGAGCTCTTGAGGGAGCAAATGTTAAGGGTAGATCAATGACTGTGAAAGAGAGAGGCCCAATTTTTCTCCTAGAAAACTTAATTAGTGTGTGTTGGGATTCCTGTCTGTTATAGTAATGAAGATCAATAAAGTTTGTGACTGGCTAGTCTCCTGTTTCTTGCTCTGTTTTATGAATCTATGTTGTGTTGACAAGCTATCTAGAGTATTTCAATTTTTTTTTTTTAAGAACTGATAAAACAGTAACTCTTGAACAACTACTGAAGTTAAATGAAGCTTTAAGATCTGTATCTAGGATCAGTTACCTAAACTATTACATAAAAATGCTATTATACAAGAAAAAGCATTCATAAGCGCATTATTTTTTTTTTATATATAGCTGATCGCCTGGGAAGACTAGTTGTTGCTGGAGGGGCTGCTGTTGGCCTGGGAGCTCTGTGTTACTATGGAATGGGCATGTCCAGTGAGATTGGAGCTATTGAAAAAGCTGTGTAAGTAAGATGACTTATTATTTTAAGTTAAGACTCCATGAAATGACACCCTCCTGTGCTTACTTCTGCCTCTTCTCTGCTGTACATTTCAGTGTATGTATGACTTACCCTTTCTGAAGCCCCAAACAGCCCTCACTTCTGGTATGCAAGACTTCTAAGCATAAAATCCAAAGCAAATTTGGGGTAATTCCAACTTATATGCATATTCATTGACTTGAGTTTGTTCTTTATTGGCAAATTTAAAATTTGCTTGCAAAGGCTATATGAGTACTTTTCATGAAGATCCCACAGATAGTTTAGAAAAGGTACTTGGTCATCTGTAAAAATACCAGTTAAGAATACATTGCCTGGTGTTACTGTGAGACTTCGCTCCTTAAACCTCAGTACAACCTTCTGTGAGAAGGTTGAGGAGAGAATTTCCTTCGCACATGTTCCATATGTTAGCATAAGCCCTGCTCGTAATGAATTTGTTTTGCTTAAAAGTGGCATGAATTACTACTTGGATAACAAAAACCAACTGCAAAATCAAAGCCTATAGTTATTTCAGCTTTGGATAGTGATAAGCTGAGGCTTGGGCAAGTAAGTGCTGGATACACTTTGGCTTGCTTTTGCCCCACCAACAGTTGGAAGTGATCACTGCTTGTAGCTATATGAAATTGTTCATCTAAAAACTAGTGTTCATGTATTTTTATTCTTACACAAGCCTTCAAGTAATGGATCAGAAGAGTAAAATGGTAGAAAATGTGTGCAGCATGTTTATTCTTGGTATTAGCTGGGGAGGTTTCCTGGCCATGGTACAATTGAATTGTAGTGGAGAAGCTGTGATGTTGGCTTCTCTTGCTGTTGTTGGAGAGTTCTCGTAATGACTTGTGTGTCTTGTGATGCCTGATAAATATGTACGTTATGACTCAGCATTTGGTGGACAGCTCAGCAGGGAACTTCATGCTTGATACACATTCTGCAGATAGGTTTTTACTAACTTATGTATGCACATTTTTTTTTGTAGTTAAAACATTGGTTATTTTGTTCTTACATGCTTCCTCCATAGTGTTGATTCAAAACTATATTATTTGTGACTTGCAATATTTCTAAAGATTTGATTGCTATACCAAATAAGTTGTTGCTAAACCCCAGCATTATTATGAGACCTGTCTGATATCTAATAATGGACTTAATAGCTTTGATCATGTTTTTGGTTGGTCTTCATGCTGGTACTGATAATTGCCTAACTATGCATTACTGCATATTTTTCAGCATTTGGCCACAGTATGTGAAGGACAGAATTCGCTCGACCTACATGTACTTTGCGGGAAGCATTGGCTTGACTGCACTGTCTGCTGTAGCAGTGAGCAGGTCTCCGGCGCTCATGAGCCTTATGACAAGGGGCTCGTGGCTGGTAAGCACATGCGAAATCTAAAGATGCTTTCTGAGGGACTGGTCCCAGGTGTGACAAATGGTATCAAAAATGCAAAATTTTGACCCCTTTGTGACAGATGGTGCAAAACTTAAGATATTAAACTCAGTGGTCCAGAGACTAGGAAGAGTTCAGCTGAGCAAGGGATGCATGGAGGTAATGTTCCTTAAGCGGGCATCATGAAAGCCTTGGTACCTACAAGTTGTGGTGTAAAACTGTGGTGATAAAAGCATTGGCAACTGGATTTCGCAGGTACGTCAGGCAAGGTGGACAGTGACAATCATATCTGTTCCATTACTTAGCTTCTGAATTGTCGAAAGCTTAAACTGCGTAAAACCAGATAGCACCCTGCTAGCTGGCTTTATCAGGCTTTATTAATGTGCTGTTGTAGGTAGGAAATGTGCTGAAAGATTTACGGAAGAATACATTGGTGCTTTCAAAACACCACCCTATGTACGTATTAAAGCTGTGGCATAGTGACTACCCATATATCCAAAGAGAGCGCAGGTATAGGCAGGGAGAAGCTAAGTTGCTTTCAGTAAGTGACATTACTTCTTAAAGACTCGAGTTCTTAAGATCAGTACACATCTTTCAAAGCTGCTGGCTTTTAATACAGTGGTTGATACTTTCATCTTTGCAAATACCGAGTAACTTACAGAATGGATCTAGATAGGTTAAAGTGGCCTGAGCAATACTGATCCTCTGTCTTAAATGATTTGATTGCTTTGAGTAGCAAAACTAAATAGTTTGGCTTTACTTCTTGTTTGTTTGGATTTTAAGTACAGTTGCTTTCTAAGACAGGAATTCAGCTTCAGTATGGTAGCTGATTACATTGCTGACTTGCACCTGGTATGTTCCTTTAATAGTTTATCTTTGACAAACTATTTACACAAGTTCTATGCTAGCTTGACTAGCTATCTGCTAGTAAGAACCTATTATAGGTAGCCATCAGAGACTAATAGTACTATTTCCATCATTTTCTAAAACCGGGTACATTCTGATGCATTCCTACTCCAGCCTGTCCCCTTCTGTATGTCTCTTTGAAAGTTACCTTCTGTCTGCCAAGGCCAAAACGATACTCCTAGTTAAATTGCCCAAGTAAACTGTTCATAAAATGTTTGCTGAGTGCATGTGTGATAAGTGTAGTTGAAGAATGATAGTTAAATGCCGGCATCAACATAATTCTGCAGTGATTAGTTTAATAATACATCCTTGGTGATTAACTAGAAGCTGAACCTTTCTGACCAGTTTGTTAGCTGCTGGAAAATTCTGTTCAGAAGCAGCAATAAGGAGAGGTGATGAGGTTTAAAAATCAGTGGCAGCAAAAGCATATGTGAACTGAATATTGGGTTTGGGTGGAGAAGTGTACAGGAAAGATAGTGTTTACATTTCAGGAACCCAGGGTGAATGAGCGGAGGTATCATAGATTTTCCTGCTTCTGTTGTGCACAAGTAGGAGATTGTTGCAAGTTTATCACTGAACTCAAATTCTTAAAAGATTGAGTAGAAGGAAAACAAGAATTTACTCTTCTTTCAGCATTAGGCTGTTAATTTCTAATCCACAAGTTAGAACGTATCTGGGGGCAGAACAGAGACCATATGTGGTGATGCCAAACTGACGGGTCTAATGCTGTGTTTTTGTAGGCAATAGGTGCAACTTTTGCAGCTATGATTGGTGCTGGAATGTTGGTCAGGTCTATATCCTATTCAGATAGTCCAGCAGCTAAGCATCTTGCCTGGATGATGCATTCAGGTATGTGGGTTTTACTTTTACTTTTCATTATAGTGGAATATGTGTTTGGTTGTGTGTGGTGGGGTGTGTGTTTGGTGATTGTGTGTTTTTTATTTTTTGTGTGATCCTGTTTAACAAAGCTTTGGTTTTTAGAGTGAACTTTAGATACAGTTTCAGGAGAATTGTAGTTTTCAGAGACCTGTGAGAACTGAATGTCAGTGACCTTTAAGTGTCCTTCACACAACTCTAATATTTTATAATCTTGTATAAAGCCATGCTTTTGAAGTTGATACAAATATGCCCTATGGGATAGAACTGCATCATCGGTTTGGTTTACTGACCGCTTTATGGCACTGTAGCATCTCTAAGTGCTGCTGTGCACTCTTAGCCATATCAACTTGTTTTTACAGTGAAATTGTTCAAACATTGGTGTTCTCAGTTACAAGAATTGCTGCAATGTGAAGGCCAAGTTTTGCTTGCATCAAGTTCTCCCACAAAAGCCTACTATTACCATTAATATTTAGCCTGCACTCATTGTAAAACATCGGCCTACATTCAGTTTGCTTGTGTAGTCTTTACAGTATGTTGCTAGGCTGAATAATGCAGGGAGAAAGACAGCAACATTATGTTAAGATGAGCTAGCAGCTACTGAGCTAGCAGCTATTTTTGCTGTTGTGTGAAGTGTCGTCATCACCACCTGCAATGTTGTGAATTGGTTTTATTACTAACAGTTTTCCTGGAAAAGGGAACTTGTTTACTAAAGCCCTGTTTTAAGGAGAAGGGTTAGATTTTTCTGCAGGATATTTTATTTACTATTGATATGAAAGATTTTTTTTTTAATGGTCTTGTGATGAATCTTCTGTGTGTGCTAAATAAAGGATATTTGAAAACTGACTTTAAACTTGGCACTTTAGTATTTAAACAGCAGCTTCAAAACTGACTTTAAACTTGGCACTTTAGGAAGCTGCTGTTTAAATACTAGATGCATGTTCTCGTGAGGTGTGTAAAATGGGCTTACAGATTAGTTTCGCACTGAAGGAAGTAACTTTACAAGTTGCCTTAATAAGGCAAGCCACTACTTGAAATAAGTGGTTTTTGTTTTCTAACATGTTTTGTCGGAAACAATTTATGATTGAGGAATGACAAGTGTTAGGCACTGAAATAGTATTTAACTCTCTGGAGCTAAAGATTTTTATCAATGAAAGAGGAAATCAAGTTTATTTCAGTGGTTGTTGTTATCATATGTTATTATTACAATCTGACATTAAGAGAACAGATGGAGGCTTCATACAAGACTCCAGTGAGAAATCCAGCTTCACTTAACTATTTCTTGCAGCACAAATTTGTCCTGCCTTTCAGCTTTGAGTGTTCTTCTTGCTAGTAGGTAGTTGGCAGTTCTGTGCAAAGTATCTGCTGACCAGCTGTGTTTTGAATAGATCAATATGCTGGCTAGTCCTAAAGCTTTCTTCCACAACCACTTTTCCTGGAATATTCTTTAGAACTAGGTGAAAGTAGGTCACTTATTTTAAGATTGCCAGTCTGTCATGCTTTCATGCCTTCCAGATAGTTACATAGACAAGCACAACGGCATTTTTGTCCCGTAAATGGCATAGTTTGAGCTATACTGTCTGGCTGCAAAAACATGATTTTAGCAGGTGGAGTCTTGAGCAGATCTGTTGCTAACAGGCTTTGTTTTTGTTTTCTTTAACCAGGTGTGATGGGTGCAGTGGTGGCTCCTCTAACTTTCTTGGGAGGTCCCCTGCTGGTGAGAGCTGCCTGGTACACAGCTGGCATCGTTGGAGGGCTCTCCACTGTGGCCATGTGTGCGCCGAGCGAAAAATTCCTGAATATGGGAGGACCCCTTGGAATAGGCTTAGGCTTTGTTCTTGCTTCCTCAATTGGTAAAACACTGTTTACATACTGTCCCCAGTTAAGATTTGCCTTCACTAGCACAGCAGAAGATGCTATGTTTTGTGTTGGAAACAAAGTATATAGTGAAATTACAATTCTGGCCAGTGTTAATCTGACAAATGTCTGATAGTGATGGCTTCTGTTTCTGACTGCTGCCAGTGGATGACTAGGGAGGATCGTAAGCATCAGCAAACCTTCTCATCCGCTCCTTCTCCTTTCTTTGTTTCTGTACATTGCTATGTAAAAGCCACAGGGACAGAACCACTTTCACGTAAAGAAAAGTATGGGTTTCCCTAGCGTGCTTAAAATTCCTGTGGCAACTTGTATATGCATTATTTCCAGCTGTTGTATGCGGGTGTAGGAAAGTAGCTGGTATGCAAGTACACTACAAGCACATGACAATTTTTGAGTACTCCTTGAAAAATATTTGCTGTAGTAACTGAAATGTGAGTTTATCCAGAATAAGAAACTTGCAGTAGTTTTAACACTCTTGTATTGTTTCTTCCCAGGCTCCATGTTCTTGCCTCCTACATCTGCTTTTGGTGCTGGTTTGTATTCCGTAGCCGTTTATGGTGGGCTGGTGCTCTTTGGGATGTTCCTGCTCTATGATACCCAGCATGTTATCAAGCGTGCAGAGACCCTGCCCTACTACGGAGTAGTTAAATATGATCCGATCAATGCGTAAGTGTTCCGCGTTAGCAGTCTGTGTTACATTGCGGTGTCCACATCAGAATTTGCTTCAGATGGTATGGAAGTATGCTTTGAGGAGAAAAAAAAAAAGCCTTTTGTTTACTGTCAAAGTGTATTGCTCTAAAATGTGAAGAGCCATGGGGTTCTTGAGATAGAAGCTAGAGAATATTTTATGTGCTTCCAACAATATGAAAATGTTTTCTAAAAAAGTTAACTCAGAAGGGAAAGGTTTTTTTGTATCTGCTCTCTGAAAATATCAGTCAATATCACCTCAGACAAGGCATGTTAACTCTCTTGTAGTTACCTTATATTTGTTACTTTAAAAAAATAAAAAAAGCTTTATCAGCATAATAGGTAAAGAAAGAAGGATTAATTAACACTCATCAAGTACAAGTTTAATTAAGCAAGTAGCTTCCTTGCTACAAGGGTTGTCTTTCTGATCTTAGGTGAATTGCTTACTTCCTTCCTTGGATTCCTGATCATTAAAGTAAAATAATTGGTAAAGAGTACCAATCTTTAAAAATCCTTGGAGGTAAGCAAATAGAAGTTCAGCATAAAAACTGAGGACTGCTGTCCAGTGAGACCTACCTAGAAGGTATAGGTTTTATACATCACATTTTCAGAGGACACTATAGTTGATTTTTGTCACAGGCCCTTAGAAATTGTTTTTAAAAATGAATTATAATGGTATGAGACACAACCAAATACTACTTCTGTTCAACTAGATTTCCTTTGCTTTCCTGTTTCCTAGGTGTCTGGGCATCTACACGGATACACTGAACATCTTCATTCGGGTGGCCACCATGCTTGCCACTGGTGGGAGTGGCAGGAGGAAGTAAACCAAGGCTCCTCTGCAACTGTCTGGTGGATCAAACTTCTTGGTTGTCTGCCTAGTGCATATGCTCAATAAAAACTTGTGACTGCAAGCAGTTTTGCTGCAGGAGTCAGGAAGTTTAAAGTATTTCAGCAAATTACTCTTGGTTCAGTGCAATGTTCAGACTTAATAGTTTTTCCTTGAACACTTTCTAGTTTTCTGTTTAAAATGGTGTGAACTGCTTCTAGTTGTACATTATTTGGGGAAAGTAAATTATTTTTAATATATTGAGTAAAATAATTTGTCATCTTCTTAATAGATTTGAAAGCAGTTCCTGTTTCCTTTTTACTGCAATTTCACAGTAAAAGGAAGTAATCTGTAAAGTGGTCTCCCTTAGGCAAATAGGGATAAAGCTACTTAAGGAAATGCTGTTGAGATAAAGAATTTTCAGTTAAGATGGTGTAAAATGATCTTTCAGTGATATGTGAAGAACTGTAGAAATTGGATACAGCACTAACTGCAGTAGAAACTTCAGAAATGCTTAAGTAACCATTAAAAATGTTGGCCTGGTTGGATGAGGTGACCAAAAACAGAAAGGGAAAGGAAGACAAAGCTATGTAGCATCTATTCTATATGAAAACTTCAGTCTTTTTCTGGAGCACATATTAAGGCACTGGAAACTAAGACAAGAGTTTTCATATTAACTGAGTATAATAGTAACTAGGCTCTTATGATGAAAAAAAACTGTCAATTGCTGGAGAGCAATAGAGGTGTGTGATTTTTTCCAGTGATGAAATGGCAGTATTGCAGGTAAAGGACAATCTTTGGGAAGAATTCCCAGTGCTCAGCTTCTCTTACCAACTTGGACAGTTGGCACTGACGGAGGCAGTTAAGGATGTTCTGGTGTAAACCCAAGTAGAAGATTACCATACTCTTGCATCTTCACCTCTTTCCTTAACTCTTCTCCACATTGCTATGATTAGCTCTGTCTAAAATGCTCCTTATCAGTGAGGTTGACTTGACATTAGCAAATGTAAACTTGCCAAGCTCTGTTGCTCTGTCTTGGAATAAGAGGTGTGAGTTCTTGGGCACAAGAAATTTTTAAGCAAACGTCAACAACTCGGACTTTCATTTTCTGATAAGCATGCTATGCTCATGTATTGACTTGTGGAACAATAAAATTCTAGCCTCACAAGCTTACTGCTCACTTCTGTGTTAATGGAAATATTTTGCTACCTTGCATTAATGTGGTTAAGTGCACTGTAAATATTTTGCTGACTAATTCTTCTTTTGTGAGAACGCTAATGCATACATCCCTAAGGAATCCATGAAGATGACTTCCAGTTTCAGTGGCTCTTTAGGATGTTTCCCAGAAAAAGATGCTGATCAACACTTGTGGTGGCCCAGTAAAGTGTCCCAGTAAGCGTGACTTGGCTCTTGACCACAGCCAGTGCTGCTTTGTGTCTGTAGCATGTTGCAATATTTGTCTGTAGTGTAGTCTTAATTTCCCACACTTTTACAGCTGAAGGAATTTCTGTAGTACTTTGGAGCAAGGCGTTTCTGGATCATGTCAAGTGTAAGTGAACAATTTAAAGAGTTACCTCTAAGGAATTTCTTAGTAGTTAATCTGTTTCTGTATACTGTTGTGTTAACTTAATAAAACACCCTGCGCTTTCTCAAATCCTATCTTGGAACAAGATTTCTATAGCTGTGTAGATAAAAATGGGAAAGTGCTCTCTTCAGTGTTCCTCCCGACCACTGGTTACTTTCATAAGGAAATTGTATGTTTAAGATACTAAGCATCTGGTATGCTTTTTTTTAAAAAAAAAAAAAAAAAAATCCTCTAATGTACTCCTATACATGAGAACTTTGGATATTTTCATGGCATCTTTTTTCAAGTAAGTAACTGTGGCTGTAACTAAAATGATTTTTATGTTTGAGATTTAAGCTTAGTATAGTTTAGGGAAGAAAGATTTAAAGTAAAATTTTGAAAGTGTAAGCTTAATTGTCAACAAATACAGGAAGAAAATGTATGTACTTTTGTATAAGTATAGCAAAAACATGATTTGGCAGAAGTAGCTTAATTAGATTCACAGTTAAACAGGGCAGAAACTGGGAGCCTTGCTTAGGGAGCATGGGACCCTCAACTGTTACATCTTAACAGGAAGAACATGAAGTACCTCAGACTCGTCGTTACTGGAAGTCTTTTAAGTCAAGTTTGGACCTCACAGTAAAGTGGCAGGTACAGTGGTTATGGGACAGTTTGTGGTGGTGGTGGTGTTTTTTTGTTTCTTAATTTTCTTTCTTCAGGAGGTTGGTGTTTGGTTGTGGGTGTTGCCTGGCTGGACAGCAGGTTGCAGGTGTTGAGGAGCCTCTTCCTTGTGAGGTTCCATTTATGTTTGGGGAATTGGCGGGGATTGAAAGTCGATCATAAATCCCATCTTAATATGAGAAAAGCAGAAAATGTTGAGCAAATGGAATGGAAGATTAGGTAGACCTGGCACCTCCAGACTCACTATGTAGGAAAAGTGTAACAGGGTCAAAACTAAAAATGCATCAGGAGAGAGGGATTGGAGGCAGGAGATTGAATGAAAACAGATTCCTATAAACCTGACTTCAGTCTGTTACCTAGAAGGTGTAGATGCAATACCGTTTTTGTTGAAACCTTTTATACAGAAGGAGTAGCAAATGCTTTATGACTCCTGTGCAGTTGCAGAGGTGGTTACTGTTTTCAAGGTATGCGCCTGGAAAGTACAAAGGGAGATACTACTCGGTCATCCAGGGAGATAAAGCAATCAGCAACATGAATTTATCCCTTAAGTTTAGAACATAAATGTCTCGTGAAAAAGCTTGAGCAGAGTTAAGGTGTGTTCAAGGTTGGTGGGTTTTTTTTTTTGTGTGTGTGGGTATTTCTGGATATAATACACAAATATTACAAGATTATTGGACCTTGTATGGTGGCGTATTTCTAATGGTGTAAGCTCATGCCAGTATAAGGAAAACCTGTGCTTTGTGTGTGAGAACTCCCTCTAACCAGATTGAAGCCGCCAGAAGGAAAATAGTTGGAACAAAAGGTCTAATTTGACTTGGCAGTAAATGAAAACTCACTTTGGAATTGTGGGAAGGAAGGAAGCATTGATAAGTTCCGGGATACAACTCCATTTAATTCAACTTTGACTAATTACAAATCTCTGTGGTTCTGTAGGAACATATGCTGGCCTTCCTCTTCAAAGAAGAGCTGAAATTGCTCAAGTTGTAGACTGTAGCTTTATTGCAGTTTTTTGCTCTTTCTATAGAGGTAATAATGAAAGTGCTGGGTTATAATAACTAGTAAAAATGGGAATAAAGAGCAAAATTGAAGTAATTTCTCTTACAGTAAGTTGAGAATAATTTGGGAGACTGTCTTGGAGCAGGATGTAAAACCCTCTGTCTCTTTTCCAGAGCTTTTACAGTAAATCTCTAGTAATTCCTCCATTTGTGCCTTGCCAGTAATCCTGCTATAAAACTGTCATCCAGCCTGCCTGTGAGACTCGTATACTTTGTTTGTTCTTGCAAGTCATGTGTATTCACTCTTGTCATAGAACTGGCCACTCTTTTGCATGGCTTTCAACTGTTAGGTGAGGTTTGTAGATGCATTTATTTTGCATATTTATAATTTTCCTCCTATGGACAAGCTGGGAAAAATATAGTAACAGCTTTGTCCTCACTGTCCCCTGTGTTTTGGTGTGTGATTGGTGTTACAGGGCCTTGAGTTTGTCGTGGTGGCTACTGGCCTCTGAGGAAATGAGGCAAAGCCTCTGTCCAGAAATACTGTTGTTGATGTGTTAATTTAAGAAAATGCCTCCCCCCTACTGCCCTTCAGAAAGATGGTCGGAGAATACAAGACTCTTCATCAGGTACAAAATAGTCTGGTTACCTAATACTTAATTCCGGAAAACTTATGAGAAAGTGAAGTGATAGAAAGGCACATGTCCTGGCAGACATCACACTCTTCCTGAGCAGATAAGCTATTAAATCAGCTGGCAAGCCTCTAAAAGAGAAACTGCTGCACAGCTGTCAGCCTCCAGGGCTTCCCGGAAGATTTTGTGATTAATGTGCATATTGATCTTTTTCTTACAAACGTGGGTAAACTGTGCTGATCAGACGAGCTGGCAGCAGCGCCTTGAGGCAGGCTTGGCAGAGGCAGTTTGTCCTGAACTGACATAAATGCTGCTGCTCGCAGCTATGAGGCTCTTCCCGCTTCTGTAAGCGGTGGGTTTGCTGATCATTCCACACAGCCAAAACGCATTTGAACTAAGGCCTTTAGAAGCAAAGGCTAAGGCTGTCTACACTTGTAGAGCGGTGTGAATTTTAACTCCTCCTCCACTTCCTCATGGCTCCTACAGCACAACAGTTGCCTGAGAGTAATGTTCTATCCTTTGATTTAGTGGTAATTACCTGTGTTAGCTTGCGGGAGCTAAAAATGCAGTGATCCAGTTCACCGGGCACCATTTCAATGCGATGAACACAGTCTGTTCCCCAAAGCATTTATGGTCATCTCACTTGTATTTATGTGGCTGCATAGGAATAAAAGAACCTGCACAGTCATGAAAAATGGTCTTACTCTTAGCCAGAAATTTGATGGGCTAGCAAAACTGCAGCAAAGCTTTTATTGGGAGCTGAAATTTTCTCTGAATCAATCTCAATAAGAGACATAAGTCATGGGGTAGTCGGTTTTTGCATTTCTATTCAGCTTGTTTCTCATTCCTTTGGGGCACAAATAAAACTAGCTAACATACCTGGAATTTTGTTTCATTAAATTGTCTTGGGGGGTTGAAAAATGGTAAATTAACTTTTATTCAAAAATCCCAAAGGAAGCGGTGTTCTAAGAAATACGATTGTCCTTTTCTGTTTGTTGGTTGGTTATTTTACCACTTGTGGTTTTTATTTTAGGAAAAAAAAAATGGTGGTGGGAGAGGATGTGTTGTATTATCCAGGAGAGAAAGCAGGACATCATGGTGTCCGGCCCCTCAGTGAAGTGAGGTGAATTAGTAGTGATGGCAGACTGGTGCCGTCCTGTGTCTGGTCGAAGCAGGGTGGTGGGGTGTTTTTTACGCTTACTGTATGA